GTTGTTCAGAAAAGAGAACTATTAATTGTGGGGGAAGATTCTAGTGGATTTTCTCAAAGATCAATTTGGGGAGTCATTGTCAATACAGAGAATTGGAATATTATACAGGAAACATTGGATGACCTTAAGGACTGTAGTAATAGAAATGGGATGAAATTTAATAGCACAAAGTGCAAAGTCATTGCACTTCCTGACTAATAACAAGAAATTCGGATATGAGCTGGGGGTTCATCAGTGTATTAGCTGTATTAGTTGATCACAGGATGACTATGAATCACCAATGTAATGCAGCTGTGAAAAAGAAAAATAAATATGGTCTTAGGATATATCAGGTGAGGTATTTCCATTAAAAATAGGAAAGTATTAAATGTCATTGTACAAGGCACTGGTAAGACCTCTCTAGGATAAATGTTAAATTAAGAATGAGAGTTAGTTTAAGTTTGGTTAAGGAAATAAATGTGTTGTAAAGAAAGGCCCTAACTAGCAATTAGAAGGAAAGGCCTTGAAAATAATTAATTATAAGGCCAGAAGGAATGAAGTTGGGAGGATATCTGTTTCAAAGAATAATGAGATAAGGGGAAGTTTCTAAAAAGAAGGCGTCTGACTGATAGGGATGACTGCAGATGGTTTTAAATAAAGAGAATCTGTCTTAAAATGAGCCAACATGGCCTGTCCCAACCCACACACCGGTGTTAACACCTATGTGAATCCAGGTGCAATGAAAAAACTGCTAGTCAGCAAGAAGGTGGAGAGGAAAGGCCTAGGGAAGGAAGGAGGTTGTAAATCTTATCGGGAGTAAAACCAGAAATAAGGGTGATCTGTCTCCAATTGATTTTTAGGTGAAGTCAGTACTTGGCAATGACATCTCTTGTTTGTTGAAGAATATAAAAAGTAAACTCTGAAAGGGTTCATTGCTAATACCTGCCTGACCAGGTTTGAGCCGACTAACCTGGATCTAATTACCCCTGGGGTTAGTTTATTTGTAAGTATCTGATTCTTGATCAAATGTTTATAAATGTTTTGTTACTGCATTGGGTATGGTAAATTGCTTATTATTTAGGCTTGTTCAGAGCAATTGTATAAATACCATTTGGCCTTCAGATTTAATAAAGGAATTTATGGTTAAATTAGTGTTGTGGTAATACTCTGTATAAATATTAATAATTCCAACAACCTCATCTGGAATACTGTGTACAGTTCTGATCACCCATGTTCAATAAAGATGAATTCAATCTAGAAAGCTGCAGAGAAGGGCTGCTAGGATGATCAGGGAAATGGAATAACTAATAAAAACAATAGAAAACTAAAAGAGCTTGGCTTGTTTAGCCAGCGAAATGAAGGCTGAGTGGGAATGTATGTTTGTTTATGTTTCTGAACACAGCATGCATCACAGGGTCTCCAATAGAATTACGCAATTATGCAGTTTTAAACTCATCAAAGCTGCGAACTCAGACAGTACAAAACCAGACAAACATAGGCATAACATGTTGGGGGTGGTCATTATAGTAATAAAATAGGAAAAGATGTTCCTAAATAGGAAAAGGAGGGAAGGAAGTGACCAGGGAGTGGGAGAAGAGCTAATTAACCTAAAGGACAATGTCGACACAAGGACAAATAGGTATAAACTGGCCATGAATAAATTTAGGCCAGAAATTAGAAGAAGATTTCTAACCATCAAAGGAGTGAGGTTCTGTGACAGCATTCCAATTGGAGTGTATGGGAGGGAACCTAACTAGTTTTAAAATGTAGCTTGATAATTTTTGTGAATGGGATTATGTTGGGGTTGCCTGTAATAGCAGGGGACTGCACTTGGCAACCCAGGAGGCCCTTTCAGTCCTGTGTCCTATGGTGTTTGATGATATTATGGTTTCAACCATAGTGTGGAAAGAGCTTAGGTAGCTACTGTGTTCAATAGGTGGATGACTGCTAGTGAACCGAAGACCCCTAAACAAGTACATCTTAGCGAAGTTCCTGGTGTTCTGACCCCCCGAATAGAGCAGCAGGCTCGTCAGTGGACAACTGTTGGTGGCCTGATCCCTCCTCCTCAAGCAGTAACTTTGGAGGAGGTTTCTGGCAGCTCATTTCCCCTGGGGGACACCTCGATCTTTATAGAATGCAGAGCAGTGGATCAGCCTTTTCTCCAAAGCACTGGGATCATCAGAGATGATTCTGACCCTTTTGTCAAGTTCCCTTTGTATGCACAAAATATCTGTAAGAGGGATGACACTGGCAGGTTCAACATCCTTTTCCAGGGATAGTGGGATCTTCAGAAGGGGGCTGTTGATGGCCCATACATCTCTTTTAGCTCTAAGAGGATCTTTGGGGAAGCCAATTGGTAGCTATTTCCCTCACATCTTCCAGAGCATCAAGGACATATATTTATATATTGTTTGTATATGTCTGGGCATGGTATATACTTTGTGTATACATAGTGTTGCCCCTTTTTGATCTTAGCAGCTAGTCAAAATTTTAGGTCCTGAGGTTGTTCCAGTGGGGAGTAGAAATTAATTATAGAGTCAGGTATTTTCTTTGATACAATCTTGACAAATTACAAGGAACGTATAAAGTCTTTCTTCTCTGAATGCAGGAGGAACAAAAAACAGGAGATTGCTTATTTGCTTATAGACCCCAGGCTCTTTTGCCAGCCCCTGACTCAGAAATCTAGATTTTTGCAGGGTCATACATTGTGCTTGTTCAGGCGGCCCCCCAGAAAATCCATTGGGAAGTATACAAACAGGTATCTTGAGTATTATTTGGTTCTGGAGTAGTTATTTTTTTATTTAAAACTTTCTTTTACAAGTAAATATGAAGTCATGAGGCCTTCTGGTCGAAAGACACCACACAGGAAGGAGACTTACAGGAAGTTGGTGATTCATGAGAAGCACACACAGACAGAGAAACCCGAAGGTCCTGGTGGAATTGAGAACATGCTTTCGACAGTCAGGAGAGACCAGTCCTCATTTTTCAATATTACCTTGGAGCCTGAATGTATTGTTGATCATTGATTGTCAGTAGGTATATTTTCAAATGTCATGAGCAACTGGTTTGCTGGAGGCTGTCTTTCTTCAAACAAGTCTTGAGATGGTTTGATTCAGGCTGTGATGTACTCCGTATCTAGAATTTCAAGTCCTTTTTCTTAGACACAGTTGAAGCCTGAGTTTGATAACATTTATTACATGCCTTGGCTTACTGAGCTGCAAATGTTACTGATGGACATAAAATGATCTAATCCTAGTTTAAAATCCATCTGTAGTATTTGCGTCAGTCTGCAGCTGTGAAATCCTGTGTCATATCTGTGTGCATAACTATGTTTAAATAACTAATATAATAATAAATTTTATTGCACTTTTCATTCTCAAAAATCTTTAGGAACTTTGGTCCAAATTCACCCACTCTTGGGAGCAGGAAGGTAGTGACTTGCTGTGCCAGATGGACTGATACATTGGGAAGGGGAGAGGTAGTGTTTCCACTGTTGACTTCCTCAGGGAGGTTGCGTCAGAGGTGGACAGCTTTATATTTCATAGAAGCCTCCTGGTAAGAGGTGACCTTCAACACTGGGGTCTGTCACTGAGAAATTTAACATGAGAACTGATGAATTTAATAGATTAGTGACTATAACATTAATGGTGTGACACAAAGAGAAGATTTAAAGGTAGGTCTGTCACCTGTATTTCATGGGAGATGAAGGCCAAAACTTATTTTTAAGAAGCACCACACCATGCTTTATTTGTGGTCCAAATGATGTATTACAGCCTATCATAATCTGCATGATTATAATCCTGATTATCAGCTTTGGAATTTGCTTCCTGAGTCACCACAGTCTGGACCTGTACTCTGCAAAACTCCCCACTTCCCTCAATAGTTTGGGAAGATACAGGCTGGTGAATTGGAAATGTGGGCCATGATCCTACCCTGAGGTCCACCTGGATGGACCCCTGCATCTACCCAGAGCTTGTTGTAGGACTGGGGCCTTAATTCTTTCTTTAGATTTTCAAGATGTGTCTCATACTCCAGATGCCTCCCATGAACTAATAAACAGTTATGTTGTAATGTTCAGCAACATAAAATAAAGTGATCTGTATATTGACCTGCTGTGTGACATAGCATGTAAAGCACCAAAACAGGGAGAAGTGGGTCAGGGGTACCTCTTAAAGTAATGGAGAAGGTGGGCTGGGGCGTCTAAGGCTCTTGCCTCCTGTAAGGCCTCAGCCCCTGAGGGCTGGGTTATTTTACCTAGGGTGGATATCATGGCGGGGTTCGCATTTAGGTGAGGTTTTGGGGAGAACCCCCAGTCTGAAGTGGGGTTAACTGGTGCCTGCTGGGCCCTGCCCTGCAGAGTTTTGTGTGGTTCCCACCATGCTAAGGGAGGTGCTGCTGCTGGGCAGGTCGGGGGCGGGCTCACAGGGCTCCGGCCTTGAACGCGGGGGCGGGTTCAGCGCTCGTCACATCCAGCCTCCCACCCGTAGCGCCTGGGCGGGGCGCGGGAAGAGCCCGATGCGTCCCCCAGCCGGCAGGGGGCGCTGCGCGGCATCTTCCCAGGCAGTTCTGGCCGCTCCCTCGCCGACTCCGCCCCCGCTCTTTCCAGGAAATGTCTCTAGGTGACGGCGGCTCCGGCAGGGAGACGCTGGGCGTAGCGGGGCGGCGGCGGCAGTAACTACCATGGAGCACATCCGCACCACCAAGGTACCCGCCGCCCCCTCCCCGCGCGGCGGGGCCATCGGAGGCCGGGTGCGGGGCCAGGGCGGGTGCGGGAGGGCGCTGTGGGGGGCCGGGGGCAGTGAGGAGCTGGGTGCGGGGGCGCGGTGGGAGGCTGGGCGGGGGCGTAGGGTGGTTGGGGGTAGGATTGGGGAGGCGCAGCGGCGGCGGCGGCGCCATGGGGAGGGGACCTTTGGGGAGATGCTGCCGGGAGGGTGGCGGGTGAGGCTTGCTCCGCGCCCGGGGCGGCTGGTGAGTCTCTGCTGCGCTGGGAGGGACAGTGGGTACAGACAGAGGGGGCCGGGGCCGCTCTTTGCTGGCAGGATCCTTCCCCACCCCCGTCGGCCTTTGGAGTCGCGGCCGGTTTGGTGCAGCAGGTCTGTGAAATGCAAACAAAACAGAGAGTGGTGAAAGTCTCTCCGCAAAGCCACCTCGCCCTCCCTGCCTGTGTTCTCGCCGCTCTGCGCTGACAGGGTTTCCGATGGGAGCGGTCACAGGATGCGTTTTTCCTCCTGTGCCTCCCGGATCACGGAAGGTAGGGATGGAGCAGACTTTCCAGATCAAGTCATCTCATGTCTTCCCCAGCCAGAGCAGGATATAAGGGAAATATTCAGTGTACACTCCATTAAAGGGACTTGTCAGCTGGAAATCTAATTATGTTCAAAAGGAGTTAAAAATAGTTGCCAATAGTTCCCCCCCCCCCGCCCGAGTGTGTTTCTCTGTCAGTTCCTGTGGTTTTACAATCAAATCTTATTTTTTTAAAATGTTTTCCTTTGCTGGGTGAAAGACACAAACAGAAGTCATGCAGAGGAAATGGTGCAAGTGATTGTGCATCTGATAACGTCTTGTGTACAAAGTAAACAGGCAGAGAAATGGAAACTCTCTTCCCCCTTTCTGGTTTTATGGTTTATTTTTATATGAATAGCAGGGAAATTTCATACAGAAATGTGATTTTTAAATTGATGGTTCCTCTTTAAAGATGACCTGCAAAGGGAAAAAACTGGATTTGAAACAATTTTTAGTTCTTTACAGGCCCTGTCAGTTATGTTCTAGCTCTACTGGGAACCATAAACAGTCATCATCCAAGCTGATTCATGTGTGGCGATCCATGCACCAGTGCAGAGCCCAGTTGACTTCAGTAGAGCCCTGCACAGGCATAAAGGACTATACATGCTGGATCATGGCTCTAGTGTAGATAGACTGCCAGCATCTTTAATACCATGTCAATTAGACCTATTCTGAGCAAAGTCAATGACAGTGAAGTGCTGAGTGCTAGTCTACTCTAGTATTTCTAACATTGTAAACACAAATTGACATGAATTAATGTTGCGGTGGGAAATATTTAGAAAATGTCCCTAGCGTAGATGATGATGTCTGCAAAACTACTCCAATGATACCACGAATCAAGAGAGTGAAGGATGAATGAGAGGATATTTAGTAACTTTTTAAAACTTGTGTGCATCTGTTTTCTAATTTCAGTAGGTCATACTTTGGAGAAAGAATGCCTTGTTAAAGATTCATCACCCCTGCCCCCTTCAGTTAGTGTGAGAGCTAACAGAATGCATCCTCTGGGACATCTCCAGAAAAACCACTTAGACCAGAGGAGACATTCCAGTTATTTTCCCTATGTTAAAGAAAAGAAGTAAGGGGAATTTAAACAAAACTTTCGGGCCCTTTTTATATGTTATAAAGAAGCAAACGGCAGAAGCAAAAATGTTCCTAGGCTGAAACTACTTGATGTCTGTGTTTCTGTGGTGTATGGAGTTTTTTGATGTGCAGAATGAGTTGTAGTTCAGCCTCCAGCAAGAAGAGAGGGAGTGCTGCTGTCTGCAAAGGCTGCTGAAGACTGCATTATCTGCAAAAAGAAAAGGAGTACTTGTGGCACCTTAGAGACTAACAAATTTATTTGAGCATAAGCAAGTGAGCTGTAGCTCACGAAAGCTTATGCTCAAATAAATTTGTTAGTCTCTAAGGTGCCACAAGTACTCCTTTTCTTTTTGCGAATACAGACTAACACGGCTGCTACTCTGAAACGTACATTATCTGCAGTTCCCCAGAAGCCATCACCTTACAAGCTACTCATTTAATGATCAGGCAGTCTGACCATAAACTGGATTTATAGACATATGAAGGAAGGGGATGATGTCATGTTCCAGTTTTAAAGTACTGTAGTTATAACCAATATTTAATTAAGGGAGCAGGTTATCAGTTTTTAATTTTCTTTATGCATCAGTATAAAACTCATTATGGCTGGGGAGGGTCTGATCAGTCAGCTGCTTGCCAACAAAGCTACATAAATTAAGACTTACTATGTTACACAAAACTAACATACTAGAGACAAGTGAATAGATTGAAAGGAACATTGTCATTTTAAGTAATGTTTGAGAATTTTGTTTTTACTACAGCTAATTTAACTCTTATAAATGAAAGTAGCAATCCAGAATATAGATATTTTTACTTTACATTTGACAGGAAACTGGTTTAGCTGGCTGGATTCACCAATTTCCAAGTAGTTATTTTGGCAACAAACCTTCACCTAGCTCTGTGTAGGCCCAATCCCATCGGAATCAATGAGGCTCAGGATGGGCACAGGATTTGACTGTACAGAGTCAATTGCAGGAATTGGGCCTTAGTTTCTCTTGTCAAAAGTCAGATGAAGAAAGAAAAATGTAATTTTTAAAAAAGGAAATTTAAATTGTATGTCATGAATTTTTTTGAGGGTGCTCTGTCAGAGTCTAATATTATTTTGAAATAATTCCTGCTAAAATAATTCACGTTAAAATGTGGGGTTTAATTGGCAGAAATGACCAAGGTTTGACTTTATTCAATTCAAATCAAAGGACTCTATTCAATTATGAAACATGTCTACTAATGTGCTTGCTTTGTTTATTTGTTTTTTTTTTCAAAATAAACTTTGGAGGATATAATGTGCGTAGGAGTGGAAGAAGGCAGGCAGGCATATACCAGTTGATGATAAATGTAAGCAGATCTATCATGGGAAGTGGGGCAATTAAAATATAAGTATCTTGTGAATCTCTTCTGCATAATAGTTTAGGCTGGACTTTGTTCTGACTGTTATGGGAGGCATATTTACTTTTTTAATCTGACTGCTCTTTGGAGATTTTGTTTTTCCACATGGATGGCATAGTAAATGGCTAAACAAACTATGAATGCTGCAAATGGAATCCTGGCTTGAAGGCAGAACTTATAGTGGGTCTAGTGGCAAGAATGCAGTGACACACAGCTCTAGACCAATGGGCTGGCAGTGAGAACATTAACCTGAAGAGGTAATCATGAAGTTCCTTCCCTTCCCTTTCCAGTCTCAGTAATGAGGCTATTTTATTGTGGATTGAGTTTGTAATTGTAAATTCTCTTTGGAGTTGCCCTTAGTGTTCATTGCTGTTACAGCACATACTGAATAAAATTTTGTAAAGCATCTAATTGACTTGGGAACGTAAATCCCATTCTCTTTCAATTAGATTTACGCTTTGAAGTGCTTAAATTGCATTTGAAAATGGGATTTACGCTCCTAAATCCTTACATACATTCCAAAATTGTATGCATTGTTCATCTTCGAACTAAACATGGAAAATAAAGATAAAGGGAAGTGTGAGTGAGATGGATTCTATGTGAAGTGGGGTTAGGGGAGCCCAGTCCCTGTGCTTCTGCCTCAGTTCCCCCGGTAGTGCCCCCTTAGTGCTCAGTGGAGCAATAACAGTGGTGCACTGGAGCCTGACCACACAGTCACAGAATATTTAAAAAAAGAAAAGGAGTACTTGTGGCACCTTAGAGACTAACCAATTTATTTGAGCATGAGCTTTCGTGAGCTACAGCTCACTTCATCGGATGCATACCGTGGAAACTGCAGAAGACATTATATACTATATTATATGCTATTACCAGCAGGAGAGTGAGTTTGTGTGTGTGGTTTTTGGAGGGGGGTGAGGGAGTGAGAGAACCTGGATTTGTGCAGGAAATGGCCCACCTTGATTATCACTTTAGATAAGCTATCACCAGCAGGACAGTGGGGTGGGAGGAGGTATTGTTTCATATTCTCTGTGTATATATAAAGTCTGCTGCAGTTTCCACGGTATGCATCCGATGAAGTGAGCTGTAGCTCACGAAAGCTCATGCTCAAATAAATTGGTTAGTCTCTAAGGTGCCACAAGTACTCCTTTTCTTTTTGCGAATACAGACTAACACGGCTGTTACTCTGAAACCTGTCAGAATATTTAAAGAGCAGCAACTGTTGGGCCCAGTATTCTACCAAGGAGAACTGTTGACACATGCATCCAGTCGTCTTATCACTGACTCTTAAAGCCATACACATAACTGTGTTCAGCCTGTGGACGGACTTTCCAGTTATGGTGCTCTTGACTTTTTTAAAACAAATCTGAAATGAACTCTACAAGTGTCTGGCCAAGCTTTTGCAATGTACTTAGATACTTACATTGTACAGGAGCGACAGTTTGTCACTCTTTGGTTAGCCTAAGGAAATAGTATGGTTATGCTCAGAAAAGAGACTGTGTGCAAAAATGGCACCGTAGATGTGTTTCTTATGTGTATTCCAATTCAAATCTTATTTTAGTGAAAGAATTCAGTTATTACTTTTTATCTTTACTACTGTAGAACAATACAGTTATGGGATTAATTTCTGCTTCAAAGATCATCAGTACTTCTGAGTCAATTCCACTGTAGGGTCTTTTACTAGTAATACTTGTCAGAAAGAGTACAACTTGGCTGTTGGATCTCAGGATGAGCTTGCAGGTATGGTATTTAGTAAGGGTGTTGAGGGCAGGAAATCTCTATTTGTAACCTGAGCAAACTTGATATGGAGTCATGGCGAGACAGTAAACCTGGAATGACAGAATACCATTTTTAGTTACTCCTCAGAGTTTAATCACCCTTTGAACACTTGGAAGGCAAGACTTGATTGTTGTATTTTTCTTCTGTGATGTACTAGCCATCTTATTAGAGAACATTCAGACATGTCCTTTTTTATGCAGTCTTTGATCATCACTACCAGTCCCAATCAATTACTCAGCCCTCTCCTGTGACTCTGGTTACTGTAAGTAGATTTCATATATTGTTGGGGTGACTGTTTTCTATCCTGCTATTGAAAGCTCTCTAAAATTCTTAGAGACAAGGTAATTTTTTGTGAAAATATTGCTTCCAAACTACTTAGAGTGATGCCCCCTGGCATTTTCTTTGCTGTATATTCTTAGATGTGTTTTAATTTTATTTATATTGCAAATGCAGGCCATCTTTTATATTGTATCCTTTTTTAAATCCCTTTTTCTATACAACTGAGAAACTGACTTGTTTTAATCCCCCCCCCCCTTTGAGGTGTGGCATACTGTTAATGGTTCATTAGAACAGTGTGCACACAACCTATCCTTCCCACTGCACTTGACTTTTTTTTTTTTTTAAATGGCTTTAGTTGTTTAACAATCAAATCTGTACCATTTGGGGTCATCTAGATACAGTTATCTGTGCCTGCGTTATCAAGGTAATATCTAGGAAATGCAGATGCCTGCTTTGCTGAACCAGGGCTCTATCTATGCTGTCACAGCCACCTCTCCTGGGTGCTGATCCTGCTGCCAGAGAAGTGATTGGGCATTGTGCCATTGACTTTAATGGGAGTAGCATTGGGCCTCTAGCAACACAGCTCTAACTTGGCACTAATGAGACAGTCCTGCCAAGAAATAATGACAGGTTTCAGAGTAACAGCCGTGTTAGTCTGTATTCGCAAAAAGAAAAGGAGTACTTGTGGCACCTTAGAGACTAACCAGTTTATTTGAGCATGAGCTTTCGTGAGCTACAGCTCACTTCATCGGATGCATACCGTGGAAACTGCAGCAGACTTTATATATACACAGAGAATCTGAAACAATACCTCCTCCCACCCCACTGTCCTGCTGGTAATAGCTTATCTAAAGTGATCATCAGGTGGGCCATTTCCAGCACAAATCCAGGTTTTCTCACCCTCCACCCCCCCCACACAAATTCACTCTCCTGCTGATGATAGCCCATCCAAAGTGACAACTCTTTACACAATGTGCATGATAATCAAGTTGGGCCATTTCCTGCACAAATCCAGGTTCTCTCACCCCCCTCCCAAAAACCACACACACAAACTCACTATCCTGCTGGTAATGAGGACTACAGAGACCAGCCTTTCACTGTAGTCCTTTTGTGTTGTGGTATTTCACATATAGGATCATGTAACATATAGGATCATGATTTGTTTCTTGTAAAACAAACTCTATGGAGTTTGTAAAGAGCTTTGTTCACTCCAGCTAAATTGTGGGCTATCTAAAACCCCTTTTTATGATATATTCCTTTATTGGGGTTAAGGATGGGAAGATTTTTGGTTGGGTGCCAGCATGAGAAATCTCTCCCTGCAAGAGCTTTCTAGTCTAAAACAACTCCTCTGCCATTTTAGGAGAATGTCTTTTTGCTGATAGGTTTCAGAGTAGCAGCCGTGTTAGTCTGTATTCGCAAAAAGAAAAGGAGTACTTGTGGCACCTTAGAGACTAACCAATTTATTTGAGCATAAGCTTTCGTGAGCTACAGCTCACAAGCTTATGCTCCAATAAATTGGTTAGTCTCTAAGATGCCACAAGTACTCCTTTTTTTTGCTGATAGTAGCCCTTGTTTCCATTTTACTGGGAGTTTCCAGTTCGCTACCAGAGAGCAAGTCATTATACCATGACCTAGGTTTTGGAGGGTGGGAACAGTACAAAGCGAGAATGAAAATGAAGTCAGGGCAAGCTGGTCCGTGGGCTCTGACAGGGATACAGAAAACCTCAGAAGAAAAAAAAAGATGTTAATTCAGTACTAGAGATCTCTACATAATAGGATAATATACTTACTATTGTTTGAGGATTTGCTGCTATACTTCAGTTAGACTTGGATGCTACAAGTTTTCTACTTTAGCAAATTATACCTCTTGCTTTCAAAACGGTTCTTAAATACACCAATCAACCCTAGTGGAAAGTAATCCCTAATACGTAGCAGAACAGAAGGTGACTCTTTATTTGAAAAACTTCAACATTACAGATGAGAATTGAATCTACTTATGATCCTAACCTTGTGTCTTTATTGTGCATTGTCTTGAACAGACAGGATTACCTAGGTTATCTAGCTAGTCTTCGTGGCAAATCAAATTTGTTTGCTATTGCTTGCTTCCTAGTATTTGTCCCATGTAGTTTTAACTGTGCAATGCATTTGAGCTTCCACCACTTTCAAGATTATTCCACAGGCTGATAGATCTCACTGTCAGAGAAGGTTTTTCACCCTGATGTTCAGTCATTTTTTACTTCCTGTAAAATGTTTGTTTTTTCCCTCTTACAGGTAGAGCAGGTGAAATTAATAGACCGTTTCAGCACCAGCAACAAATCATTAACGGGAACTCTGTACCTTACAGCAACTCATCTGTTATTTATAGACTCTAGCCAGAAGGAGACTTGGGTAAGGATATCAAATGCATTACCTTGTAGCCTGAAAATACGCAGCTTCTCCAAATGTGTTTTCTTTTCCTTTTTTTTTTTTTGTGCATATGTAATTCAAGATAAATAATTAATTGGATATAGTTTCTCTCATATTTTCCCCTACTTCATGATGCACACAAACAATAAGGAATAGATCCACAATCCGTACTCTTACTGTGCACCAGTGACCAGGCTTAAGTGCTGCATCTTGTCATTATGGCTAATGTCAAACACGGGTGTCTAAAATAAATCCATATTATTTAAGCACTTAAAAATAGCTGCCTGATTTTCAAAGGTGGGAGCTGTGGGTGCTTGGTATCTCTAAAAATCAAGTAATTATGCACCTAATTTCCATTTCTTGTCTATTCAAAGATGGTCATGCCAAATTAGTTCTCCATTTGTGTGTGTGTGGTGACTTTGTTTAGATCTCTACCTCTTTGACTTTCTGTGCTATCGGATGAGAGGAGATTGTTTAGTGATCTAAGCATCAGGTTTAACATATCTAGATTTCCTTGAACTCCAGGTTCAAATCCTTGTAGCCTTAAATGAGACAACAAAACCCAAGGGTCTCAGTTCTGCATGAACACTAAAGATCTTGTAGGTTTTTCAAAAAGGTATGAGCATCTCAGCTATGACCGTAGTCCTGTATCCTGGTTACCTGCTTGGCTAGCTGCTGCCCGTGCTCTCAGAGGAATCTGTGCTTCAGTGTTTCTGTGGATACAGTATATAGTTTTGAAGAAGCTTTGGAATCCTTCACAACGAAAGGTGCTGTATATGTGTGTTTAAAAAAAAAAAAAAAAGTTCAAAAGCACTGATTTACTTCATTTTAACATCCTTGAAGTCAGTCCAGTTCTATCCACAGTACAACTTCTATTGAACTAAATTTATAGAAAGAGTATATATAAGAGCATCTTTAATCATTGTTAGTATAGTAGAACCCCATTTATCTGAGCCTACATTATCCGGCTCTCCATGTTAACCAAACCGAACTCCCTGGTGGCAGGGCTCAGCTCCCACTATCAGCCCTGGGCCCTGCTGCCAGGGGTTGAAGCTCTTTGCCTGTTCTCTGGATTATCTGGATTTTTGATTCTGATTTGGCCCCGGTCCCAATTAGATCGGATAAACTGGGTTCCACTGTATAAAATTCTGTTATTGAAATCTAGTCCCATCCTCTCAAATACATGTCTTGCAAAATGCTTTCTTAAACTCCTGTCTAATTTTATTTGAGTCTTAAGAGGAGAAAACAACTGTGGTAGTAAGAGGACTGAATAGTATGCTCCCTTCAGTGTCTCAGATGAAGCAGAGTGCATCTGTGGCTTTCCTGCATAGGGGCACAGCTGTTAAATCACACATGCATTTTTCCATATTTGATCTGTTGTGTTTACATGTCTGTATAAAATAATTTTGTAAAATTCCTATATTAACCTTTTCTTCCCTCAAAGGACATGTATTATGGTTGAGGTGGTGGTTTGGTGGGGGAGAAGTTGTATAGAACTGACTTTGGAGTTTAACATCTAGATGATCCAGATGAGTAGCTGTAGAATAATTCATAGTAGATCTTTCTCATCTCTCTCTTTTCATCCTGTTCCCCAGGAACAGATTATGCTGCCTCCTAGCTCACACTTGTGTGGGTACAGAGAGGCTGATTCTAGGAATAGATGTCAGAAGTAAAGAGCACGAACATAAACTACAGTTATAGGCATAAATGTAAGGTAACCATCACATTCTTCAATAGAAGGTCCATCTTCTGCATATTAAGTAGTGGTCCAACTCCTTAAAACTAAAGTTTGAGGAAATCCCTTCCTGCAAAAGATTCCATGTTTTCCTCCTGACCTGGGGTGAAATGCTATATTTTTTTCACAAAAACGGGTTTCAAGAAAAATTCTGTTTCTGGAGAACCAAAACTTTTTAGCCTTCACAGCTGCTGGCCTGGAATAATCTGGCAGAAAATGAAACTGACAGCAGGCCTGAAAGGCTCTTGTCAAAGAGCAGGGTGCTCAGCCTTTGTGTCTCTCCCTCATACCATCAGCTCTGGTGTTGGAGAGGCCGAAAGCTAGGGTGTTCAACCTGAGCAGCCCTTCTGTAAAATTGTGTCAATTTCACAGCCTACAGAAGGAAAGCAAAATTGACAAAAGCCTTCTAGACAGGGAGCTGAGGAACCCTCATTTTGATTTTCATGACAGAAAATTGATTTTTTTTTTTGTGTGTGTGGCAAAAATGAAATTTTCCTATGGAAAAATGTTTGATGCTTTGAACTTAAGAGCACTCCCAGACATGGAAAGCAACCAACTGCATATCTTCCCAACACCTAAATGGATACAGCTTTTCAGCCAACAGAGCTTTATAGAAAGTGCCTGCCTTTTTGAAGATTTACCTTTGCACTATGTGTGAAGAAAGAGATTCACTTGAAGTTTGTGACATACTGGTAGTCCTTTGAAGTTTAGGGGAAGAGAAGGAGCATAATTTCAAATAAATGGTTAGGATAGGTTGACCACAATAGGTCAGGGATTTCTTTAACAAATTAAACCTATTGTATTAGGATTTTTGACTAGCTTGTTCAGTTACGTTTAACAATTACTTTGTCTCTTTTCAAGAGTATATTTTAAAGTGCTATTGATTAACATCTTACAGTAAGACTTGAATTATGAATTCTTGTGTGCCATAGATACTACATCATCATATCGCTGCAGTGGAGAAACTTGCCTTGACTACTTCAGGCTGCCCTCTTGTGATCCAGTGCAAGAACTTCAGGGTAGTTCACTTTATTGTTCCCAGAGAAAGGGATTGTCATGACATTTACAACTCGTTGCTGCAACTGTCAAAACCAGGTATGACTTTCAAGTGCACAAGACCTTGCAGTGTATGTTTGTGCCACCATTCTGCAAAACAACTCTGGGCTTTGTGCTATTTCTGTTATTAAATGTGAGGCTTCTATAAAGTCTCTGAAATTGAGCAGCATAAACACAGAAAAACATTGATCTGTTGTGCATAGTTTTGGTAACTGTTATTCTGTAGTTTTGAGTGTGCTGACATACGGGTATGGGAGAAGGTGAGATCTTAAGTGATTGTGAAACTGCATTTATAAAAGTCACTGCTGGTTGTCACATCCCTCGGGGTATAACCTAGACTGTGGGACCACTGAGTCCCCTTAAACTTTTCAGCCTGGGCTGTCTCTCACAATGTTATGTCAGTGATAAGCAGCAAACCCGTCCAGGTGCTGTGATCGCTCAGCTATCAACTTGTGGAGAGACACACCCAGCTGAGTTGCATGAATGCTCTCTAAACCATTCATGGATTATACAGAGGGAGATTCCAACCAATTCCTCCAGCCCCCAAGCCTTGTACCCTAGAAATGTCTTCAGCAGTGTAAAACAGTACAGACTTTGGGCTGGGGCTGGGGATGAGGGATTTGGGGTGCAGGAGGGTGCTCTGGGCTGGGATCGAGGGGTTCAGAGGGCAGAAAGGGGGATCAGTGCTGGGGTGGCTCAGGGGTGCAGGCTCTGGGCGGTGTTTACCTCAAGCAGCTCCCGGAAGCAGTGGCATGTCCCCCTTCCAGTTCCTGCATGGCCAGATGGCTCTGCGGACAGGGCAGTATGCAGGTGCCAGCCCTGCAGCTCCCATTGGCCACAGTTCCCGCCAATGGGAGCTGCACGCAGAACCCCTCGGCTGCCCCTAAACGTAGGAGACCGAGGGCTGACATGCCGCTGTTTCCAGGAGCCGCAGCATGCGTGTGCATACTGGCCCCCAGGCCCCCAACCCCGCTCCTTCACTACATAGTGAAGCTTTATGAAACTAGTAACAAACACTTTGAAAATGAATGCTGAAATTTTGAGAATAACACAGTAGTGATCCTTGTAGGTTTATAACTGGTTTTTGTCATCTTCATATCTGATCTGTCCAAAAAACTTTTTCTGTATTTTGTTGTTTACAACAGTTCTAAATATTAAATCTAACGTATAAACTGTATATCAGATCAATCGTTAGGAAAATTTTGTCTTTTTCCACTAGAAAATGTAAGATTTTTTTTTTTTGGCTTCTAAAGATTGCCACAGTTTTGGACCTGCATTCATTTCTGCCCTCATCTTTTAAAATTCTTCCCATTCTTTGAGCTCCTACTAAGCTTTCTACTGACTACCCTTTATCTCCAGGGGTCTCAAACTCCCGGCCTGCAGGCAATCTGCGGCCCACAAACCTCCCTAATGTGGCCTGCGGGGCTCCAGCAGTATTGTGGCCCTTGGCCCCACCTGCCACCCCCGGGCACTCCCCCCCATTCCCCCAGGCTATTTACATGGCCCAGGGCTCCGGCAACGCAGTGGAGCTGAGCGGCGTCTGCCTGCTCACTTCACATGTCTGCTGGCCCTTCCCTGTGGCCCAGGGCGGGGCTGTGCCTCCGCGTGCTGTCCTTGCCCCAGTGCCCCTGTGGCCAATGGGAAGCTGCAGGGGTGGTGCCTGGGGTAGCAGCAGCGCACGGAGGCCCCCCCCGCCCACCCTACCTTAGAGCCCCAGGTAATCGCCACACCCTCCGACCCCCTCCCGAGTCTGCACCCCCCCACCCAAACTCCCTCCAGAGCCCAACCTCTCACCCCTTCTGCACCCCCACCCCCTGTCCCAGCCCAGAGCCTGCACCCAGCACCCAAACTCCCTCCCAGAGCCCGCACCCCTACCCCAGACCGCCTCCCCCACCCCAGAGCCTTAGGCAGGTGGGGGGCGGGTTCTGGGCGGCATGAGTGACATTATTGGCCCGCTGGAAGGATTTGAGGACTGGCACTAAGGTAAATGGAGTTTGAGACCCCTGCTTTATTTCTGATCCGCTCCTAACTTTGTGCTACTCTAAATGTTGCCCCTTAAACCTTGAAGATGTCCCAGTTGATTTATGGCTAGGAACCTCCCTATTCTGTAGAAAATACTGAAACCTACGTTCCACCACACTTACCTGTGCTGATGTCCATTCATCGTTCTTTGTCAGTTAACTTGTGTGACTTCAGATTGTAAACTCTTTGGGGCGGAAGTTACATACCAAGTAAAATATTTCAAAAGCACCAAAGTGGCTTAGTCTAAGTGACCTAAGCATTTTTGAAAAGTTTACCCACCATGAATATTTATAAAATATCTTGCCCTGTCACAGAACTACAAAGATAATCATCAGATGATGAATTCAACTATTCCTGCCCTTTTTCTGACAATAATGACACTGGGATCTGATTCCATGCATAATATCTTGTTTTCTTGTTTCCTTTAGCAAGCTATGATGAATTGTATGCCTTCTCTTACAATCCAAAACAAAATGAGTCTAAGCGGCTGCAAGGCTGGCAACTCATTGACCTTGCAGAAGAATACAAGCGGATGGGAGTGCCGAACTCTAACTGGCAGTTGTCCGATGCTAATCGTGATTATGAGGTAAAGGATACTAGAGAATCTGTTGCAGTGGAGAAAACATGTTTATTTTTATGCCTATTTGATTTTATAACCTCAGATTCCAGGCCAACACACTATCTGCAATGCCTTGCAAACCACATACCCTTTGAGTCATGAGTTTGCTGCATAAAGTGAAAGGATGCGGAAGATGGGAGAGCCTACTTATGACTCTCTCCCTCCCCGTTCGGTTTTTTGACGTTCCGATAGTCTTTGGATAGCATGGTTTCTTTCTCATTTTCCCTCAACGACAGTCCTATTTTGAGGGTAAGCCATGGAAATCCTGTTGTTCAGTGAGGGAGAAGCCTACCCTTGCATAAGTGAAGTTGGGGATAGGTGCAAGGGGTGTGATCTTTCTATACTACTACTGTGGAATTATTCTCTGTGGTCTCATTTTGATAGACTGTACACTGGTGTCTCAGTCCCCTTCCACAGTGTATGATTTTGATTTCATCATTGTTTCATACCCTTTAATCCATGTATCACTTCTGGTGTGTGTACATTAGGAAGGATTATCGGCATATTTCTGTATGACAGGTGCAAGTGTGTTTCCTCTGTGTCATCTAGCCCTGCTATAACCACCTTCTTATCCACAAAGCTGTCACGATTCATGCAAGGACAGCAGTCCACTGTAAGAAATCTTGCACCAGATTTGATGTAGTCTGTAAATGAAACACTTACATTGTACATTTATTTTGTCCTCCAGATTTGTGAATCCTATCCCAGAGAACTTTATGTTCCCAGAACTGCAAGCAAGCCCGTAATCGTTGGTAGCTCCAAATTTAGAAGCAAAGGAAGATTCCCAGTGTTATCATATTATCACAGAGATAAAGAGGTACAGTCTGATTTCCTTTCAGCACAAGTAGGCTAAAACTATTTCTCAACAGATGCCATTGGTCCAGGAAAGATAGGGAGGTAAGTATAATAACCCAGGTTAATAAAACAATCCTAGTTCCTTAATCTCTGACACTGCTGATGGCTAATGAGATGCTTAGGTCATGCTTAGCCAACTGTAAAATTCTTCACTAGTCATTTGAATCTCTTAAAAGTTCCAAAAATAGGGCCTTTAAGATTAGCTGATGATCAGATCCTCTGTGTTTTTTGTACTTTTTGGAAAGTCAAGAATAAAATCTTTTTGTTCCAAAATGCTGTGAACCATGGAAATATTTTGTTAAAGAGGGAGGAAGGGCAGGAAGAGAGAAAATCAAGTCCTGTGGAACTCCATAGAGGAGCGTTGTTTGTATGGAGCAGCAGCAGTCAATCTCAATCCTGATATATATCCGAGGGAATAGCAGTTATGTCAACTGCTCCTGTGAGTTCAGCAGTTTCTGAAAGGCCAGTATTGTAAAGCTACACACAGGCAACTGCCAGTTGTATCCACAGAGTGGATGTATTTGTGGGTGTTACCTGTTATGGAATATGTGATACACCCCTCAAAAAACAGTGCTGTCAAAGAGAGAACTACAGTTTTTATATTGGCCAGGCTGGAGATTGAGCGATCTGTAGAAGAGAACAAAATGATTGTGGATTCATCTTGTATTTAGGGAGAGAATAATTCAATAGAAAACATCCTGAGAGTGTACACACGAGACAGGCATTTATTTTAAGAAAAATGGGTGTGTGTGTTAAACTTAATTTTTTTCAAGAAGTAAACAGATGTCTAAGATCTTTGGGCTTACTTCCAAAATTTGGTAAACCTTTACACTATCAAAGTGCCATGTGATCTTCGAAGTCCATGAACAGCAGTCAGGGACTTAAATTTAAGGTCTACTATAAAAGTGTACTTTGATGTAAAAAGTTAGAGCATCTTTGCTTTAGTTCTTCAGCTTCTCTTTCACTTCATAGGCTGCCAAATAAAAGAATTTACTCTGTTTCAGCTCTATAGAATACACATCTGAAGCATTCTTTTAGAGGTGTTACTTAATATACTGTTGCTATCCGATTCTTTGTTTTCTGTACTAGGCTGCCATTTGCAGATGCAGTCAACCTCTCTCAGGTTTCAGTGCCAGGTGTCTGGAGGATGAAAATATGCTGCATGCAATCAGTATAGCCAACCCCGCTCGTCACTGCATGTATGTCATGGACACTCGACCTAAGGTATGTACCTTTGTCAGGGTTGCAGCTTAGGGTTCATCTTAAATACCTTTTACTTGATCACTTTATACATACGGAAGTGCCGTTGGGGGCACTATGTGGCTCAGGTGTTGGGTGTATGCTGTATCATGCTATTTAATCTCTACAGCATCGGTTCTCAGTCAGGGTTCTGAGGCCCCTAGAGGATCTGCAAGCAGGTTTCAGGGGGGCCGCCAAAATAAACCAGAGGGTAGGGCCGGCATTAGAGTTGCTGGGGCCCAGGGCAGAAAGCCCAAGCCCTGCTATGCGGGGCTGAAGCCAAAGCCTGAGCATTTTAGCTTTGCGGGGCCCCCTGTGGCGTGCCTGGGCAATTGCCCTGCTTGCTACCCCCTAATGCCGACACTGGCTTTTAATCTACGGGATATGCAGATATGCAGTTGTGGCACAGGTGGGCCATGGAGTTTTTATAGCAGATTGGGAGGGCCTCAGAAAGAGAGAGATTGAGAACCCCTGCTCTAGATCATTGATTCAGAATTGTCCCAGTCGATGACCAAAAGTATTACTGTTTCATATGATGATCATGATCTATGTGAGATGAGTTTGGTAACTCTTCTTATTCAGGCAGCTAACCAAAACGAAACACACATTTCACCTAGGAACTTGGGTGAAGATTTTTAAAAATGGGTGCCTACAGTGCAAGACTCCATATTCAAGCAATAAATGTTGTTTTAAAAGGTGCTGAGCACTCATAGCTCCCATTGAAGTCAATGAGAGCTGTTGAGTGTTCAGCACTTGTGAAAATTAGGCTACTTATTTAGCTGCCTAAACATAGATTTAGGAGTCAAATTTGGGCACCCATTATTTTAGACCCTGAGTTTTAAAACTTCTTTTAACTATCTAACTGGGATGAAATGTGTAACATTGATCTGAACTTTATAATAGCATTGGATGTGGAGCTGGAGGGCTGTTTTTAAAAACCCAAACAAACCAAGCGCACACCGGTAGAATTATAGTGAGTATGCCTTAATGGAGCATGGAGAAATTAAGAGACAGAAATTGTAAAACCTAGAGAGAGCATCTGCAGGACAGTGTTCAAGCCCTAGAGTTTGTTTAGATACCACATTTCAGTAAGCAATTTCACATTAGTACATCTTTACTTCTTTGGTCACTAATTAGATTAAGGGGTGGGCATATCAAGTGATGATTATTTCCTAAACTCTGCTTATAAGCAAACTCCACCCATATCTGTTATCAAAATGAGACGTTGCTTAAAGTAGACTGTAGGTGGCCTCTCTTTTTTATGTATTTTGGTTAACAATAAAATAGTTAATCATATCTGATCAGCTCTTAAAGTTCAGCATTAGGACTACACTGAGGAGAGTGGTGCAGCTGATACTTACTGGAGCCATTGTTGCAGACTTTGGCAGATACATTTGTTGGTTCCACTCGGAAGTTCTTATTTTTAAATTTATGTGATCATAAGGACTAGAAGATTCAACTTTAATTGTAAAACATTAGATTCTGTAGCACAAGAGGGAAGCCTCCAAAAAAAGTGCTCACTTGTTGAGTGAAATGGAGCCAGCCCAGTTGGATTTGTTTTTGTACCTCATAATTTTGTAGATATCATATTACACTGATCTTTTTTCCCCTTCAAATTACACACCTCAGGTATCCTAACACTTCATAGTACTAACTTTTTTCTTTTAGGCTAATTACGATGTGGCATCTTTCAAATAAGCAATTATGATTTGGGGAAAGGAGAATTAGGATATAGTATTCAGATTTGTCAGCTCTCAACATGATCTGATTGTTTTTACTTTTCATAGTCTTCTATGTATCATATCCCCCCCACATGTTGTGTCATTCTCATGTCAGAGTAATCCTTTCAGATTAGTCTGCCACAAATCTGATATCCAGAAGGATGTTTGGTATATGTGTGCTAGTTTTGTTTTTTAACCGAGTGTCCTGATGAAGATGCTTGGTTACTTAATCTATATTTTGATTGTACAATTTAGTTTTTAACTCCTGGTTTTAAATATTTGCGTTTTCTTCCACTAAGCTTAATGCAATGGCAAACAGAGCAGCAGGTAAAGGCTATGAAAATGAAGACAACTATGCTAACATTAGATTCCAGTTTGTTGGAATTGAAAACATTCATGTCATGAGATCCAGCCTGCAGAAACTTTTAGAAGGTATGTTTTTTGTTCTGTCGGGTAACAGAGTATGATTAAAAATAGGATAAGTGACCATCTCATGTCATTGGTCTGTTAATGTTAGTCTATGCAAAACACCGAGGAACTTCCAAACTTTGTTACCGACAGCAGTGAATGTAATGTCTGTTATGGACTTCTGCAGGGTAGGTGCCAGTTTTAATCACAATTCCTTGGCAATGAGTTCTTATGAATTCTCAGTCATTTGTCTTAAACTATTTTCCTTAACATGTAATGTGTCTTGGGTGGAAGAGGGAAAATTCTGTTAGCATGTCAGATGGTTTACGGGAGAAAACCATTGGGGTTTATAACATGCATGTATTACCCCTGATTTTTCAATAGGACATAAATGTTGCAATTCTTGACTGTACTCACAAATAAAATACTCTGACATCTGAGTGCTATAAAATGTACCTACACTTACTTTCACACTCAGAAATCAGAGACCAGTTCTAAAAGGATTGATTTTGCACTAACTGTGCTACATCTTCACTTGCTCTCTGCTAAAAATTCTCTCAACTCACATGGTCATGTGATCTTGTGGTAGCCACGTGGGTAACTGTTTCATCTTTTTTGATGGCCAGACCTCTCAATCAGCTAGTATCAACAGTGCAGAACTATTTTGATTTACATGACCTGGTTCAAGCCAGATTGGTTGGTTGGCAGTCAGAGTAATGTATGTGATTCAAAGTGAATTACAGGCAAAAAGTTATTACCGTCTTATGATTACTTGATGTCTTAAGTCCTGTTTCTTGCGGACTGACAATTGTCCACATCACAAAAAAAAACAATAGCCCTTCACGTTCAATAGCAACGAAGCACCCATTTGATACTCTCGGAAGACAGGAGAGAAATTAGAATGATTTGAGGGTGAACTACCCTCTCCTATTAATGATTTCCCCTTAATTTCCCTCCCCCACTGCCACCAGTATCACATCTGAGGTACATTAGTGAGGCAATATGGAGGAGCTTACAATGAGGAAGCGGCAGTGCATCTGTTCTGCAGAGACACAAAGGGCTTCACTGTCCAAGGTCGTCAGTTCGTTGCACTATACAAGCACTACATCTACTTTATTATTTAAATAAAGTGATTTACTGGAGTAATCATTTTATATAAAACTGTTCAAAACCGTAAACATTGTCTGGTTATGTGATTTATTCCCTGGGTAAATATTTTTGATAGGCTGTTGGGATTGTGGCGTGTTTATCTTGTGCTGTCCTTCCTCTGTTAGGTTAGGTAGCTCTTCCTATTGGGAGCCACTAATCCTATTTCCTTGAATGTTGTCATTACATTTTGACCACACTGGTGACTTAGTATCTCTTCACTTCTGTAACTCATGATCAGATATCTGCAAGATCTATTTTAGATGAAAAATTATATTTATTACTCTCGTTTGCATTTCTGAAACATTCGGAATCTTAGACTTTTACCAAAAGAGGAGAATAATTCAAATAGATTTTTAAACTCTGGGGATTATCAGCCTATCCTGTAATTATTTTATTTTTCTCCACCTAGAGAGCTACAGCTCCATAGAAAGTTTTAATGGCTTTTTTCTTTCTATTTCAGTTAGTGGTACAAAAGCTTTGTCTGTCAACAGTTTCTTGTCTGGTTTGGAGAACTCTGGCTGGCTGCGTCATATCAAAGCTGTATTGGATGCTGCTATCATCTTAGCCAAAGTAATTCATATGCTCCTTCTTTCTCTGGGGGAGGGATGGTGATTGAAAAGTATGGTTCTGCCTGTCACCATTCTATCAGGTATAAACTGGGGATGGCTGCTGCTGCTATAGTCTCAGTGGTTGATGTTTTGCTTCGTTATTAATCTTAATTATGTTAGAAATAACTACACACCAAGTACATCATCGTGCAAACAGAACATGTTTCTGTACATTTCGAGAGAACAGATGTGCCTCCGAGTATTTTAGGTTTCTTTGAAGGCTGCCCGCCTACCAGTGTGAAGAAAGGATGTTAGGTTACCCAAGTTTTATGCTAGGTAGCCGTAGTTTAGAAATCACCTGACCTGCAAATATATGAATATGGGGATGCAGGAAGCTAAATGTTCTGAGTGTTCCACGTAGTAGGGGTGAGCAGGGGACCAGTCCCACAACTCTAACTTTACTTCTTTCTTTCCTTTTAGTTCAAGTCTTTTCAGAGTCAAATCAGCCAGTTCCTATTCAGAGTCCCCCCCAACATACTCTGATACACAGCTATCAAAGAACTGTACTGGCGCTGACCTATAGGGATAGGGTAAGCAACTTTTTTTATTACATGGTGTGGTTTGCAGCTTTAAACCAGCTACTTTTGTTATATCTCTTGAGATATAAAAATCTCTGCAAATCCACGTCATATAATAATTAAAACCCTGACTCATTTATAGGCTGCTACAAGTGATGTTCTGTGATACCTTTGTCACAGAACAACATGTTAGTGTGACACGGGAATAGATAGCTGATTGATTGTGACTTTGGGGGACCTGAATTAGTGGGCAGGGAAAGGGTAGGTTGAAGTGGTTGTATGCTCAGTGCCCTTGTTCATTAGAACAAATCTATATGTACGCTACTCTCTTTAACATCTAAATATTTGCAGGTCACATTTTAAGAGGGATATCAACCTCTAAGTAGGGATGTCAGTGTGCTGGGGCTCTTAATGTACCTGGTGCTTTTCTGAGGTGTTTACGCCTTGCAGTCTTTGTCACCTAGAGGCATTCTTTACTGTATGCTGTTTTATTTATTATCTGCTGAATCTAACATGCACGACTTCATCTATGGATGAATTCACGAAGTGTGTACTTTTTTTGGCATGTTGGAAAACTATATTTATGCTGTGGGATGCTGCTGATAGAGCTCTGTGGAAAGACATGTCTCAGTGCATGTGAATCTGGCACAATCACACATACATGAGGCTCATAAAAAGTAGAAAATACTTTTTTGTATTTTGTGAAGCACTAATTCTTGTCTCAGAACTTTCTACTAGCTGAAATAGTACTTGAGGCTTGGGGCTATTTAGAGGTTAGAATGCTGGCATCTCTCTTAAACGTGACCTGCAAATGATTAGATGAATGAGGCATAAATTCCTATTTGACTGAGGGCTAGATTACACTAGAAGTACTACAGTGGTGCAGCTGTAGTGCCTTTGGTGAAGACACTCTATGCCAATGGGAGAGAGCTCTCCCGTTGGCCTAATAAAAACCACCTCCGCGAGATGTGTTAGTTATGGCACCAGGAGAAGGTTTCCCATTGACATAACACTGTCCACACTGGCAGTTATGTGGGTGTAACTTACATCACTCAGGGGGGTGGCTTATTCATACCTCTGAGCAACATAACTTGTAGTGTAGACAAGCCCTGAGTCCAAGCTAGTTGCTCCACATGCCTCCGTATTCTTGAGGGGTGGAGTAGACAGAGGATTTAAAAAAAAAAAAAGCTTAGTAGTCCTTATTTGCTTTCGATTTCTGGGATGTGTAGTCAGGCTTTTTCCTAGCAGTCCATTGAAACTGTAGATGCTTCTGGGTACTTTAACTTCTTGGAAGCGGTGGAAGGTGGAAAATAAAATGAGAAATCACGTTAATAGTTCTTGTCCCTTCAATGGGCAAGCAGGAAACTGGATCTTGTGATCTTTATGGGGAGCATTATAGCATTGCATAGGGGAGATCCCAGCTTTAACTGACTGCAGCATGTTTTCACACACACAATAATTTCTGTGTGTATTGCCAGATGAGCTTCAAGTGCTGCCGTTAAAAATGGGCTGTGATGTAGGTTTGGAATAAAATGAGGTTTTGAATTTACCTAGGAACTTACCTCTTTTTGGAACACACATTGCTAGGCTTTGTTTTCCACTTTACAGGCAATAGCAGTTGAAAATGCAACTGTGCTAGTTCATTGCTCTGATGGATGGGACAGGACTTCCCAAGTTTGTTCCCTTGGATCTCTCTTGTTGGATTCGTATTACAGAACCATCAAAGGCTTCATGGTAAGCATTTACTCATACAACTAGATGGTTTTTTATTCTCACACCCTAAATCTAAGCATCCTAAGCGTGCAGCGTAACAGCATAAACTGATGCCTTTTGTAACAAAACAAAAATGATTAGATTGATGCACAGAAATCTTTGTTCTTTTCCATATAGTTTAATGTATTTCTAAAAAAGAGATGTATACCCTTAATCAAAACAGTCCATGAACAGCAAAGTGTGTATTTAGACTAATTATGTATGGAACCTAATTTATGAACAGCAGTACTATAGAGCTCCTTAGACACCTGCAGGTAAGATAAATATCCCAGGATTGAGGTTATAGTCACCAGGATTCTAAAGCATTGCCTATGAAATGTTACAGTTCTAAAGTACTTAAACTATAGTAGTAATTTGCTAATCCACGCACCCTAAATCTCATGCTTTATAATCTGGACCAAAAATTGTTGGGATCTCTCAGCAAAGATTTTATGGCAGATACTAGTATGTGATGACTCGGAACACTGTTCAGTTCTGGTCACTCTTTCCCAAAAAAGATGAAATAGAAAAGATTTAGAAAGAGAGTGACCCATGATTAGGTGCATGGAGAGACTACAGTATGAATGAGAAGATATGGACATCCTAGTTTAGAGAGGAGATGAATAAGACGGGATAAAATAGGGATATTCAAAAAGAGTAGGAAAATCAGGCACTTCTACTTACATGTTCTCAATACAGGAGATACAGTGAATTTTAAAAGGCAACTTTTAAAATTAGTAGAACACGAGTGAGTAACGTGGCACTCACTGCCACAAATATCATTGAGGCCAAGAGTTTAGTCAGATTCAAAAAAAGGATTAGCTATTTGTATGGCTAATGAGAACATCCATAGTCAGTAAGGATGAAAAGGTAGGGGATATAAAACTACTGATAAATGCTTGGGGCCAGGGAGGAACTTCTGCTATGGGCATATTATTTCATAAAGCACAATTATAGAATTTAGTGATTTCCTCTCTCTTCTCTCCACCCCCACCCCCCATTGAAGTACTTGGTATTGGCCACTCTCAGGCAGGATGTCAGTCTGATCTGATCGGGCAGTCCCTATATTCCTAACGTTACCAAGATTTTATTATACAAAATGTACTAAATTATATTTTACTATGATACTGTTATGTATTATAAATTAAACTACCATTGACAAAGTACATATGGTAATGCATGCATCTTGCATTTTTGTTCACCTACTCACTAATTTGCAAACATCAGCTATTAACCGTCTGTCTGCCAGTCACTTATGTGAATTAATGGGGCTCTATTTTACTCTAAAAAGTGGAGTTGGTTTAACATAGCCACTATAATGATTATCAGGCAGACAGTTGAGTCGACTAACAATGAAACTTTTTAAAAAAATGGAAACCAAGTTTTCAGAATTGTTACAAATGTATTCATTCAGCTGTCCTTTGAGAGGGTCCTTGAAAGTGTTGAAGACTGTGCCAAGAAACCAAAAGAAATGCAAAGTGGTGTAAAGTGCAGTAACACACTGTGAATAAATAAAACAAATAAAAACAAAACCTATAGATAGTTGATCTGTCAGGATAAATGCACAGATCTAGAAGTTCATAATTTCTTTACATCTGATGCCTCTCTCTTCTAGGTTTTGATAGAGAAGGACTGGATCTCTTTTGGACACAAATTTTCTGACAGGTAAACAACATTTTTCAGCTAAAATAGAATTTTACAGATTTGCCAGTTCGTGCAATGGTATCACACAGTCAACTGAGTTGTGCATATGCGACTAAACAGGGCTCAGTATTCTGCATCACTGTTTCATTGATACACATATATTTTTTTAATGGAACCTCTAATACTTAAATTCTGCTGCAGCGTTGCAAGGATTTTGTGCCTCTGAGTAAGCCAGCTCTGCAACAAGCTGTGTGCTTTGTTACGTGGTGCTTACTCAAATGCCCATGGGATAATTTGTTTCCATATCGCAAATATAAACTTCAGGGCTACCAAGAATTGGATGACAATAGAGAAAACAGATAAAAGTTAGCAACTGAGGCTCTTATAGGTGTCCATCGCTGTGGTGTCTGATCCTCACTTTTGTTGCCCTAGAACTGTCAATCCTGTAGTCATTGGGCATCTAACTCATTGAGTTTGACGGCTTGGAGCTGCATATGTGTGTTTAGAGACTGCAGCACTGATTCATAACTTTTCTTCAGCCATTCAGAATATATGAAACTAAGTTGTGCTGTAGGCTCAGGAAGCTGATGAGTTTGTTGCAATGTATTTTTTTCTTGAAAAATATATTAATGAATTTGAAAATACCACTTAAATAATTGCTGTTAATTGTCAGATGTTCCGTTGATAAGCTCCATATGCATTTAATAATTTATTATCAGGTCTGTAAATTCCCAATTCTTTTTGGTCTTTTTTTATTCTTGGTCTTTTGGAGCAAAGTCCTGCCAGCAATGGTAGTTCACCTAGGAAACCTCTGGTATGGCTACACTGCATATGGGAGTGAGCCTGTCCACTGACTTGTGCTAGCACACTAAATATAGCGGCATAGATGGTGCTTTGATGTTGTGGCTTGGGCTGAAGCTCATGCTCTGAAGCCCCCCCACCTACCCCTAGGCTTCAGAGCCCAAGCCACAATGTCAAAGCACCATCTACATAGCTATTTTTAGCATACTAGCATGAGCCCCACTTGCAGAAGTTGCTGGACCTGGACTGGGATGCTCGCTCCTAGATGCAGTGCAGACATACCCTATCTGCTCTGACAGAGACTGTGGGGAGACTACCAATTATTTCAAGTTGGTAGATTCTGAATGTGTAGCACTGAGGCCCATCGCAATACCAGATATTAAAGAGCTACTTAACTAGCCTTCTGTTGTATATTATTCACTACAAATATAATTGTATGTCTATTATGTGATGCTGAAAACTCAGGATGAAGAGGAAGGATTATCTCAACATGGATTTAGAAGCCAAATTTGACACCATTTTTCCTCTAAAACCTGACCAGTTTCTCTTGAGCTGCATAAGCTGAGCCCATTAATTAAATTAAAAATTGAAAACAAAATTGTCTCTTTTGTGGCTCTGCTATTCTAGCCAGATAGGTCCATGAAACATGGTGTTTTGTCCTGGAGTGCTCTTCCACATCATGACTTATCTGGGGTGGAGTTGCCCTACAGGTCATAAACATGTATTTCCTGACTGTCCAGTCAAAATAAATGCAGAAGATTTTGTCAGTGGGTGGTTTTTTTTGTTTGTTTTTTTGTTTTTAAAAAGCTTGTTCACATTTAAAAACAATTTCTGGATTTCTCTGACGTCTTTGTGGAACTTTTTGTAGATGTGGTCAATTGGATGGTGACCCCAAGGAAATCTCTCCCGTGTTCACTCAGTTTTTAGAAGGTGTGTGGCATCTCACAGAGCAGTTTCCACAAGCCTTTGAATACAATGAAGCTTTTCTCCTTCAGATCCATGAACACGTCCATTCGTGCCAATTTGGAAACTTCCTTGGAAACTGCCAAAAAGAGCGAGAAGAACTAAAGTAAGCTGACTAATTGCAAATGTTCTTCATTTACTCCAGTAAACTAAGAACGTGTATAAATCTTCAGCTGGGACTCTCAATAAAAGCAACTAGACATGATCTATAATGGGGGGAAAAGTAGCTGAACTGCATTGGAAAGCACCAATGATTCTCACACGTCTGAGACCCTCTTTCCAATTTTGAAAGGAAAAACGCATGTACCCATATTTCATAAAGGGAAAAATGAAGGTATTTTCAGACTTCTTACCCCCAGCATTTTTTTCCAAAATGATTTAAGTTAATGAGGGGTAAAAACTTAAGTCAGAGCCCATTCTCCTTCTACTTCAGAATTATTCCTCCCTGAACATTTATAACTATATTGTCCAGTGATCTGAAGTGCCCAAGTTTTTTTTCCCCCTTTCAGAGTCATTTCTTGCAACTGTGCAAAGCATTGTTTCCTAAAGCACTATTTAGCTCTAAACCCAATAATAAAATTAGTATTTTTGTTTATTCCTGGGATATGGCTAAAACTGAGGTATAGGTGTCATTGAGCTCAAGATGTATGACACAGGGACTGGAGAGAGGTCCAAGGAGCCTTATATTAAGTCTTCTTTAAAAAGTGGGGAAGATTACATCCTGTAATGATATATCTTGTTACTATAAGTCTCATAGAGAATGTGGTGGTGGCTACAATAATCAGTCTCAGATTTATTACCTATATTGTATACAATAAGTTAAATGTTCTTGAAGTAGTTGGTGACGTGAGAACTGTTTCAGAATTTCCATTATCCCAAGAATATTTGGTGCTTGGCTACCCGGGTGAAAGGGAGTTTTATAAATTCACAAGATGGATGGATAGAAGAACTGGATAGTCTGTCTCATTCTAAATTCATGACTGCATTTCTGGCAATTGTGGAGGTGAAAAGCAACTATCTAGTTGGGATTTATTGTTTTGACTGAAGTGAACTGTAAGACTGAGACTAGTATTACTACTTTTCACCCACAGTTACTGTCTTGACCTTGGCAAAAAGAAAAGGAGTACTTGTGGCACCTTAGAGACTAACCAACTTATTTGAGCATGAGCTTTCGATGCATCGATGCATCCGATGAAGTGAGCTGTAGCTCACGAAAGCTCATGCTCAAATAAATTGGTTAGTCTCTAAGGTGCCACAAGTACTCCTTTTCTTTTTGCGAAGACAGACTAACACGGCTGTTACTCTGAAACCTGTCTTGACCTTATTTCTGCTTACCTTAAGATTGAAAGAGAAAACTTATTCCTTATGGCCATTCCTTCTGGATGAACAAAAGAAGTATCTTAATCCTCTATACAATCGAGATTTTTCTCAGAAACTTGTCCTCTTGGAGCCTAACACAGTGTCCTTCAGTTTTAAGTAAGTTTCATTAGGTACATTATATTTGCTTCACTTCTATTGTTAGACCGGCTTGTTAAAACAGTTTTGTGTTTTGGTACACACAGGTTTTGGAGAAATATGTACCATCAGTTTGACCGAAGTATGCACCCTAGGCAATCTGTATTTAATCTCATCATGACCATGAGTGAACAAAATAAGCAACTGGAGAAAGACTTTAAAGAACTGGAAGCTGTGAGTATTGTAAATAAGAAATAAACTTACTCTGAGCTCTAACCTGAAGGACAAATTCATTTTCATAATGCTACAACAATGAAACTGATAACAGCCTTATATGACGCAGCACTTATTATGTGTAGCTTTTTTAAAGTAAAGTTTAGTTTGCATTGGTTTTAGTGTGTGTGTGGGGGGAGGGGGGGCTGCATTGGGTAGTCATACAAGATTACATAGGCTCCAAACATTTTGCTCTTAAACTGAAATGATTCTATCCTCCTGTTGTACTGTGTATTGTCCTTTGGTAGCAGGAAAAGCCTCACACCAGAAGAGCAGTTCATTTAATACTGGTTAAATTCTCTCCCTGATAGATATGTACTGTATGACTAATCACACATCCTTACAATTGTGCATCCTTTCTCTATAATCTCAACCAAGGAGAACAGAAATCTTTTAGTTACCTAAGCCATTGTTAATATGACACAGGAGCTTTTCCTCCCTCCTCTCTCCACCATTCTCTCCTGATCTTCCAACTGGGTAATCTAACTCATGCTCAACCCCTGCCTTTTGTTGGTCCTTTTCTTCTTTAGTTCCACCATATCCACCATTACAGTAACCTGAAGATTGGGGAGTTGGGGTGCGGGGAAAGATGTCTCTTCAAAATATGGCCAGGATTTGTAAGGACTAGAATAGATCCAACTGGAGATGGGTCAGCCTACCACAGGCCACAACATGCCCATAGCATGACCACCACAAGGTCGCTGTTTGTGCAGCCCTTTAAATTGTTATCTGGCAAGTCTATTGTAGCTAAGTATTGTCACTTATTCTAGCAAAAACTTGTGAAGCAGGGTTTAGGATTGATTGATTAAGTATATTTTACTAAACTCTTTCATAGTGATCAATTAAGATGCTGAAAACTTGAAATTAAAATGTCATTAACCATCCAAAGTTCTCAAATGAACAAAAATCAGTGTTGCTATTTGTAGCAAAAATCTTGGAATGCCAAATTGAAGTTTCTCTCCTCCTATGTATGATACTTCGGGAAGCAAAGTTTTTTAACATAAGGATTCTGTTAGGCTAATCCTGTCATAATGTCACAGATCCAGATTAAGTAATCTGAAACCTCCTTTTTAAAGCCTGTAAATTAATGTTTTAGAATATCAAGATTTTAGATTATCTCAAATATTTTCTCTCCTAACATCTTGATTGTTTTTTTTAGTAATTATCTACAGTTGCATGGAAATTCACAACTGAATCTTGACCCATTTTAATTTATTATACTCTGCTTTGAAAGGGAATGTTTTGGCTTTCTTATGTGGCCAGATTCTTGGGTTGAATGTTGAGGAATGGTTGGTTTGTTTTAGTTTTTGTTATACATTAGGTACTTAACAGGATTTTTACACAATCGGTGTCTCTAGCTACTTTGAAAACTCCACTTTGCGTAGCTGGGAGTTGGTGTGCTGTTATATGATATGATACAATATTGCTCAAAAGGCCAAACCAACCAGTCAGGACGTGGCTTTGGACAAGTGTGTTGAAAGTCGTCTAATTAGCTTGGCTTCTAATTTTTATTTTTATCCCAGGAAATGCTGGGTACTAGGAACGATAATTTTAATAGATCCTGTTATATTTCAGAAAATGAAACAAAGAAACCGGCAACCAGAAGAACTCCTCACTAAGGAACCATTGCAGTCTGTCTATCCTGTTTCACCAGCACTTAGAAATTCTCCGTGCTTTAAGAAGGAGACGCCTCTGTTACCTATGAATGACTCCATTCGAACTATAGAGGGCAGCAACACAGCAGACAATCGCTACAGTGAATACATGGAGGAGTTGTCAAAAGCCGAGCCTGCTGTTGTCAGCTTGGAGTATGGAGTGGCAAGGATGACCTGTTAGTGAAACATTGAACAGTGCTTCTTTTTTTCTAGACTGACTGAAATACAAGACAGATTATTGTGAGGATGGTCTGTTGCTGCATGACCAAAATCTGATTTGTATAATAGTGAGCTTTGTAGAATAGAACAGCGTGCTAATTGTTAAGGAAAGTGTTTGCTGTTCTCTTGAGAAATAATTGAATTTAGCTGTATTTAAGGAAAAAACGTTGGGGCATTCAATGATCCTTAGTGACTTAACCAATTAAGGAGTGGTCTGTTTTGGATTTAACAAGTCACAGTTTGCTCTATAGTGAGTAAAACAGTGACATTACCGTAAGATGTGTGCATGGCAGCCAAACACAAATGGTCTTTCAGAACTAATTGTAGCTGGGGCAGGAAAAACTTGACAAACATTCTATTTTAGAAACAAGTTGTGTGTGTGTATATATAGTATACAGTTTAAATCTGTATACTCCTATTTAATTTTGTCTCTCACTGCTAACTTTTGGTGTTTTAAGTGCCATGAAAAAGTACAGTATATTTCAAACTATAAATAGCTGGCCTTAAATTTGTCAAATCAATTGCCTTCTTGTCCTTGACTATTGCTGCCTGTAACATGACTCTGTTTTTATTTGTATTTGCTTGAATTGTTCTTGCTCCTTAAAATGGGATCAGATTTAGGAAATGTAAAAAAGCCTAAATGGTTATGCTATCAGCAAATGAAGCTATAAGAATGTTAAATCTTATGCTGAATATTATTATATTTCCTATTCCTTTATTGTTTAAAATATAATAGATTGGCCAACTTTTGTCAACCTAGAGGATTATTGTATTGACAGAACAATTGAAACTGATTCATGTGTACAGTTTTTAAAATGCTGAATTGTGGCAAGATTTGTAACTTGGGCACCAGTGCAAAGGATTAAAAATTGAGAGGTTTTATTAAACTAGCACATTGCTAATAGCTGAACAATGGTCATGTTCTCTTCAGACTGTTTAGCTATTAGACCTGCCATGGAGTTTGCAACTGCATAAGATTCTCTGGGTTACAGTGGCAGAAGGGAAAGTTCTAGGAGCAGTATTTAGTGATTTGCATAGTTTTCAAACAAAATTGCTGACTTTTAACAGAATTCCAACATAGACTCATAGGACTGGAAGGGACCTCGAGAGGTCATCTAGTCCCCTTCATTCATGGCAGGACTACGTATTATTATTCTAGACCATCCTCTCACGAGAAATCTAAGTACTTTTGTATTAGTCTTTCATTTCAATAAGTTTCAATTATTAGTGAGAGTCCCCTTTAATGAGACTAACTTTACAAGACGACACAATCCCTCTTATCCTAAATCTGCAGACAGTCTGTTTTGGATGATTGTGGGGGGACAGCCAAAACCCTGTGCTGTTGGCCCATGAGTAGGGAGCACTGGGGAAAGAGCCAGGTTTACAAACCAGCTGGCTTTAAAGGGGTCATGGCATTTGGAGCACAGTCCCTTTGAAGCCACTTACTTTGGGAAGCCACTTAACAGCTTCATCTAGAAGAATACAAGCCTTGGGACATAACTGTACTTTAGTTAACAGGGAGGTTTGGTAAGAAGGAACGTACTGTGTTTCTCACAGAGGTAAAATAAAATGTGTCCCTAGATTGCCTTTCATGTTAACTTCCACTGAATTAAGAGGCTTTGTCTCAGTCTCTTGTCATTTGCAACGCTTTCTGAATTGTTTCTATTGCCCAGGTCAGGAGGGGAATTAGGTTTGAAAACAGTAGCAGAAGAAATGTGAGTGCCAGCTCTTAAGTAGAGGTATAAACATTACAAGCCAAGGTATTAAACTCCCTAGGTGGTATAGTAGGTTAATGCCACTGGCTTTGCACTTCTGGGTTCAAATCCCTTTTGGCTATAAGTGAAAATGAGTTTAGTCTCATCCTAATTCCTAAAGTCTCTTTTATTAAAATTGCCAGCACACCCCACACACCTTGCCACAGTTGGCAGTCTCTCTCTGCCCCAAATGAGATCCAGGACTGTAATAAGGGCAGTGCAGGTCATGATCAAATTGCATTGGCAAAGCTGTCTAGAAAAATATGACCGTGTCTGCCTGCATCTAGCCAGAGTATAAATCAGCTGCCCATTTCACTCACCACATCACAAAATAGAACTTGGTGTGTAAATGAAGGTTTGTCAGAATCTTTTTATCGCACAAACCCCTCCTTATGTCCATCACTTTTCAGTAAAAGGAAAAAAAAAACCTTCTATATAAACAGTAAGACTGCCGATTTTTTTCCCATTTCAGACATTGGTTGAGTTTGTTTGCTGCAAACCTGTAAGACACCAATGTGCAAAGGAAGGCTTTTGTGCCTTACTGGCCAGCCCCATTTGCTATGTCATCTTGGACTTGTGGTTTCCCATTACAGATGATCTCTGGTATTAACCTTGTTTCTTATTACATTTGCAAAATGGAGACTTCGAAAATAGCCAGGGTACGTATATCACTTTGTACTGTTTTTACTATCAGCTTTTATGGTGGCGTGCCACATATATTGCTTTTCATAGTTATTGCTGAGAGGTAACAGACTCTAAAGTTTGTAGTTTACTAATCTCTTCTGTTTTGGAAAATATTGTGGGATGATATTGTTTACTCAGGATCTTTAAATACATGTGTACTGTTATGGCTGTCATGGAGCAAACCTGTTTCCTTTTGGTGATGCTAAAATCATCCTGTTACCAATTCTTCTTGGCCTTTTGTTGTTGAAGGGGCGCCTTTTGGAACAGAAGGAATAAATATGTCCCACTGTATTTTAGATCTTGGGGTAGGCATCTTAAGTCAACCTTGAAATATAATTAAAAATTACATGCTCAAGCACAAAATCTGCTTGACTATTCTTGTGGTGAAGACTAATCTTTTACTTTCCTGTCCAAAACAAAAATTACTCTCCTCAAATGAGCAGATGAATAGAATTTTATTAGGCTGTTTTGAACAGAGGCTTCTTGCTCAGCCCAGATAGCCCTTTTGAAAACCTGCCAGCTCAGCCTCCACAGAGTCACTAGTTGAAGAAGCCCATGGAGGGAGGCAGCTGTCTCTCTTTCTTCTCTCACCATGTAGATTTATGCCAAAACCGCCCAAAGCACATGGGACCTGTGATGAAGTAAGCAGAACATGGCACAGTAAGCTCCAGCATAAACCTTGGCACCACTCCTGTGGGCTAGCCAGTTAGCCTGGTGGGGCCATGCAGTGTCCTTCAGGAAGGTTAGAGAAGGAATTAAGGGAACTGGTGGTGTGAAGAGCTGTGCAGAAGTTTTCCAGGAGGACCAGGGGAAAGGATTTTAATTCTACTATCTTACAGTATTCAAGAGGGTGGGCCTTTCTGTTGCTAGTAGAAATGCTGCTCCAACAGGAAATGCTCATAATATACTTCAGGATAGAGAGCCCTGGATCTATTCTTTTTTTGGTCTCTGGTCCTGTGGGTTGGTGCATAGACCAATTCAGCATGCACACTTTAACTTGTCCCAGGTACTGTAAGGGTGCTCTGGCAGGTCCTACTTCATCTGTCATGGAGCAACTGCAGCTGGAGTCTGTCAAGGCTGTGTTCCGATTTCGGAAGTTGCTAATAAGGATTTTAGATCTAAGAAGTGGAGTATGATTTTTTTTTTTCGGGGGGGGGGGAGGTGTCATACTTTGGCTGTGTATAGAATAATGATAGATGAACTGAGTGTGACTGAAATGTAATGTCCTTTTTTGTTACTCAAAAATTCCACTTTGAAAAATCTGTGAAGGAAATGCTTTCTGTCATGAGAGGCTGGGTTTAATTTTAAAGTGGCCTTGGGTGGAAGGTGTAGTATGAAAAGAGCTTGGTTTATGGGGGTGGAAGTTAATTATTGTGGCGCTGTCTTTTTTATTACCATTTTAAATACCCAACTGTTCTGTTTTGTAGGACAACTGCGAAATCAGCATACTAAGAAATTAAGCAACACTGAGCTGAGCTTGTGCGTTTTCCTCACATGTCCAATTACAAGTGACCTAAATCGAGGGGGGAAACAGCCTGAAGTCTAGCATGTCCATTTACAAAGAAAAATATGCAAAAGCAGACCTTCCACCAAGCTGCCTATCCCTGTGTTTTCCACAGAACAGTCATCCTAATGTAAATGAGTGTTTCAGATGAAAGACTAAAATTAAAGCAGGAGTTAAGCTACTGCTTTAACTGCATAGAATAATGCATGGTAGAAAGAATTGTAAGAAATGGCTATGATGTATCCTTTCTGTAGCAGTTTTCAAAGGCCTTTGTATCTCACACTGACAGTGGTACACACATCTGTAAAGCTCTGAGATAACTCATTACTCTGACACTGGTACATTCTAACAACTGCGCATCCATTATGGACTTAACAAAAGACCCCGCAGCTGTTTTATCAAGAGAGGGAATGAGGCCAGGACACCAAGGCTTATCCACTATTCTCTTATGAAAAGTGCCATAAATAATCTGAAGAAATTCCATGTATTTGTGTAGGTTTTTTTTTCTTTCTTTTTTTTTTAAAGTGAATGCTTGTGGAAAGTGTGGGGTTGGCCCTATTGGATGCCAAAGGCCTCACTCCACAAAACAAGTATAGCATAGGCAGTAGAGCTACCCATGGAAGATAAACCCATGGGGTTTCTATTAAATTATTCAGATTCTTATTTTCAAAGTGGATAGTTGCTCACTCTAATGGTAACTTGTCTAAAGCTTGGTGATGGTCTGAGTTCTTATTCAGGTTGTACTCAGGGCTTTAAGGATCTTCTATGCAGTCCATTCAGATCTACACAAATGGAAGACCATGGACCAAGTGTGGTCTCCTTCATACTTTATTCCAGCTTTCAGGGCCGGGTCCTGGCATTTTGCAGAATCCCACCGTGACCCATAATATGACTAGTAAAGGAGGGAGGAGAGTGCTGCCCAAAGCATAACTTACTGCAGTCCTTGGTATTTGTGTATCATTCAAGCACAGTGGGCATCCCAGTACTTGGGGGCTTGGCATAAAGTCGCAGAAGCACTGTAGTGGTGAACTCTAGCATTCTTAACACCTTGTCTAAACGCACAGTTGCACTGATTCAAACTGTTTGGACACTTTAACATGCTTCAGCCTGGCTTTATCTCTGTAGTTTTCCCTATACCTATTGTGAAAGTCTTTTCCATTTTGACAAAGGGGCTGCTCACACAATGTATTCTAATCTCTACATAACTTTCCTGCCACATGAATATATTTACTCCCGTTCTGTATCTTCATATTTTTGGGTTTTTTGCACATAAGCAGACAATGTTGGTAAATGTTTTGTTTTTTCGTGGTAATAGCACTTATGTTCTTCAAGAGGAGCAACCCTGACTAGCTTGTTTGCTTTATCTATCTACCGTCTGATCCTTTTCAACAGCTCGCCTGTAACCTCTTTAACGAACATGTTTCCCTGTAGGAAAACTTGACTTAGTGTCCCTTTTCTAGTTCTCAGGGATCTTACTCTGAACTAGTGAACTTGAAAAACATTGCTTTGCCCTTTCTTTTCAGGGCTTGGAAGGAGCTAATGCCTCTAGACTTTCTCTTTAATAAAACACACTTTAATGTCAGATGCAGCTGATTAAAGAAAAAACATTCAACAAATACTGCATGTGGCTAAGGCAGAGAAAACAATCTTCATTTGTAGGATCCCAGGCAAACAGACAGGCTACTTTATTTATTGTGCTATGTATCACATGCTGTAAAAAGTCACTTATACCTCTGTCCTGGGATCATGCTTTGACATAGACCAGTTCAAAAATTTTAACAAGCAGAATTTTGTAATGAATATTTTACTTGTACGTGCTTTAAAAATCATAAGGTCTAAAATAAAAAAACATGATCTTGCAAATCTGGCAGTGGGATTATGAGTTCGTTTACTGTACTTCCAAATCCACACACACAATGGCAGTGAATAGTCTGTGTTGATCAAAATTACTTTATGGAAAAATCTTTTACCAGATGGCAATACAGAACATCAGTACATAAACCATCCTGTAGTCTATCCAATCATTATATTGGTTGGTTCAACAACTTTTAGGTGCAGACGACCACATTTGTATTACAGGGCCTGTCACAGATTGGTAGCATGATCTTGGTCAAGTTAGCTATGGAGAAGCAGTTTAATCTAGTGAGTTGAACACGGGTTCAGAAGACGAGAGCTTCTAGGTGCGTACCCAACATTACACCGTGACTCTGTGTGTCACTTGGGCCTGAATTTTCAGAAGTGGCCTTGAACTTTCTCTCTTTCAAATTTTGGGTGCTCAAATTAGACACCAAGAGTTTGCTTTTCAGAGGCCACTTCCGAAAAGTGGGCCTTGCTCCTTAGAATATTGATTTCCAGTGTTGTGAGAATCGTTCATTAAATGTTTGTACAGTGCTTTGAGGCTAGATAGAAGTGCAAATTTTGTTCATTTAATTAACCTAGTTGAATTCATTACTTCATAATGTGTTTTGTTGAGGAAATTGAAGTGCAACTCCACCTGTGATAACTATTTTATTTGTTTGGCAATGCTCACACAGACTTCTGGCAGTAGCAGCTGTTCGCATTTGTTGGTAGCCCATATAATTCCCTCTTTCTTAAGCCCCATCTATATCTCTAACGGACCTATTTACAACATGGCTTCATTTTGTAGTGCAGATGGGGAAACTAATA